CGCACAGTCTGATCACAGGATCCATGCCGTTCGCTTACAAACACTATAACAAGTAGAGAAACTGATAGCGAACAGCATGGATCCTGATCAGACTGCGCGGATGCGCATGCTGGTCTAGATCCATGCTGGTCGCAAACGCATTATGTTGTTTTTGTCATGGCGCGGCTCATTTTGTCCAGAACGAAAAATTGTTTGATAGCTTGTAACGTTAATTAATCTCAATTTATTTATATCAAAAGTTCAAATGTAGGTGACGTTATAAATAAATTTAACGTAAGATCATCATATTTTATGGGAGTGATTTATGGGAGTGATCTGCGAGTAACAACAACAACAAAAACATATTATTATTTCATTTAAATAGATTTTTATCTTGTAAAGTTATTGATATAACTAGTGTTCTTTCTCCCCCAACTTCTGGTGTTCATCGTTTTCGTTTTATTAAGAATCGAGATACATATCTTATTAACGATTTATTCTTTGTCCGAAGTCATTTCTTCATGTATTTTTAATTTTTTTTTGTTTTGGGATTTACGTCACATCGACACAGTATAGGTCATATCGCGACGTTCCAGCTTTACTGGCGGAGGAAGACCTCAGGTGCCCTTCCGTGCATTATTTCAGGCACGAACGGGCACCTGAGTAGAACGGTTAGAACCACCGACGTTCCGTAAGCTAGCTGGATAGCTTCCTCACATGAAATAATCCAAAGTCCCTGTCGGGATTCGAACCCACAGCGGTGAGGGGCAAGTGGTTTGAAGTAAACGACCTTAACCACTCGGCCACGGACGCCCCATGTATTTTTAATAATATGACGTCAGTGCCTGATGATAAAATAGTCAGAAATGGTTGAACGATATTAAAGCGTGATGGCGTCAACGAATTCTTCCCATTTGCGACCGTAAGTGCATACCAAGATCTACCGACATATCCATGTTGCTAGTCGGTCAGCATATGAGCCGCGTCACGACAAAATCAACATAATGGGTTTGCGACCTGCATGGATCCAGACCAGCCTGCGCATCCGCGCAGTCTGATCAGGATCCATGCTGTTCGCTTACAGACCCTATAACAAGAAAAGAAACTGATAGCGAACAGCATGGATCCTGATCAGACTGCGCGGATGCGCAGGCTGGTCTGGATCCATGCTGGTCGCAAACCCATTATGTTGGTTTTGTCGTGACACGGCTCATATAATTTTTAAAATTTTTACCAAAATATGATTTGTCCAGATTGATAGATGGACAGGTCTAGTTAAGATATTTAGCATGGTAATATGGAAAGCCATTGTTATATTGTTCTTTTTCAATCAATTTAACCATTTGAATAACAAGAACAATAATTATAAGACAGCCATGTCTTTCCATATGCTAAGGCTGATTTTATATCTAATGATATAGGTATCATCTTAAATATGGGAATTAATAAGCTTGGGTAAAAGCTGTAATATGTTATATATTGATCAACTAGAATGAATATATAAAAATAAGAATGACGTCGCTTCATTTACAACTACTATTTTCCTCTACTATCGGTAATAAGCTCTGTTTATATTTGAGCCGTGTCACGACAAAACCAACATATTGCGTTTGCGACCAGTATCGATCCAGACCATCTGCGCATCCGCGCAGTCTAATCAGGATCCATGCTGTTCGCTTACCAACCCTATTACAAGTAGGGAAACTGATAGCGAACAGCATGGATCCTGATCAGACTGGGCAACCCTAATGAATCATGTTAACATATAAAACGTTCTAAATATGGATCTCAGTACATATTTGAAATAGGAAAACGTCTTCAAATCTTCAAATGATAACTAAAATTGCTGGAATTGAAACTAAAATTGACACCACAGTTTGCTTGTCCTCTTCAAAATTTTGTTGTGATAAATGAAATCTGTTAAATGAATTAGTTAGAATAACTTTGAATTTTAGGCTTGTAGCTGTTCCAACAACCATGATAAGACGTTTGTGTTTGTGTTTCGCTTGATAGTCTGAATGTAAAAGTACATGCATTGTATTTATATGGAAATCTTCCGCCATAGTTGATGTGTTTCGCGCTAGGAGTACTTTCCCAGGCAAGTCACATTTTCTAACATGCAAAACCTTACCCCTTTGATTTCTTATTATTCAAGTGTATATTAATTTTACCATGAAACCACAGTTTTGTACATGTGACCTTCAGTCCTCACATTGTCAGGAATGCTTTATCCATTCCATCTCATCTCACCAACAGCATGGGACAAATATTTGTTTGCTTACATATCCAAAATGATTATTAAACGGCAATCTCTTGTCCCAAACGGCGTTCCACGCCTTTCATTTTGTATCCCTAAAATGTACTTTAAAACAATTTAAGTATTTTCGAATAGTCATTCTATATCAAATTCAGTTGGCTGTTTTCTGGAAGAGTAAGTATGTAAGTAGGATTAAAATGATGTTCATTAGTTAATTTTGTAATCAGACGCTATAAGGCCATGACTCATAGAATGTGATGTCAACAGAACACTCAGAGAAACTTGTATATATATTTAAGGAGACTTTGGCGTCGTCCCATCGAAATTTGGCTCAATTAGGAAAAACATGGGTACAATGATATATAATTCATCGCACAAATTATTATTGACAATGCAATTGAACCGTTCATCAATTTCGCAAACGATCATCAGCGGGCTAATTTGTGCTTTTTTCTATGATACTATTTCTAGACAGCGGTCAGAAGTGTTTACATGTGTTGTAGAAAGTGATAATTTTAAGTTAGCACATAGGATAACTTTACAATATCCTTCACGTTGCAGTATCATATATGTTCGTCCGGCATATGAAAACAGTAAACATAAAAGCCGATGCTGAGTGAAAGACGCTACAAACAGCCGAAGGGACCTTGTTGCTTCAGACGGGACACCAGTTTCTAATATAAAGGATACAGACACAAGCAATTGGTATGTGCCGATTTATTTTGTACATACTGTCAGAGTGTTTAAGATAACGAAAATAATGTTTTATATGTAAAATATGTAGTAACTAATTTGGGCAAGACCTTTGAAAACTAGCATCTATATTTTGTACACAAAGAATTAAAAATAACGAAAATAATGTTTTATATGTAAAATCTTTAGTAAATCTTCTGGGTGAGACTTCATCAAGAGACACATCAAAGGAATGCGAGCTTGAGCTTAACTGCCAACCACTCGAACTGAAATTACTAAATTTTTTGTCTTTCGGGACTGTTTACCAGTGTTTTAGTCGGGTTCTTACAGGATAAAGGACCGTTTGATACCTCTGTGACGGTATCATCTACATATTATGTGCATGACAACTTGAAACAGTTCAGTTAAGATTGTACTTAGAACTATACAACGAGCGATACTGCTGTGGCAACATTTATATCACTTTACCATACTATTTTCTAACGACAGACTGGGGAAAATCCAAAGTAAATTTAGTTACATACGCTCTGAACAAAAGTAACTTTAAGAGTTACTTTTTCGTATGCTTTTTAAATTGGAAAAAGTGTCGGAGCAATAAATAAAAAAAACATCGGCAATAAAACCAAAAATGATTCAGATAATTTTCATTTAAGTTATTTGTTTAAAAACCGTATATGCCGTTGAATTGGGATCAGTTGCATGAAGAGTATCGCAATTTGTTGGAATTTTCAAATTCTATTTGAATTCTTTCAACAGATTTGTCAGTTGAACAAAAGGCCTTTAATTGTCTTGCATTTTATGAACAAAAACAAATTACTGAAGTATATTGTTAGTATGGCAGTTCGGCTTTTCTTTTTCTCTGTCACAGACTGACAGATCCGAGTTACACCAGATATGGTAACACATCTGTTAACTTTAAATAGCATCTTAACAGCTGTGTCGGCATTTAAAAGGTAACAATTGAGATCTTAACGAGTAACAAAATTAGCAATTAAGTCGGGCCTGCTGCTATACTTAAAATTACGCGCCAATCTGCATCGGCTTTTAACTGCAGAGAATGTGTGGGAAAGTCGCACTGACTTAAACTTGAAATTCATGTTTTTTTAAATGCGAAATAGACCATTACTTTAAAATGCGTCACGGCGTAGTAGACACATTTACTACTACAGTAAACGTTGTAAAGTTTTTCAGATATCGCATAATTATGACTATGCATCTCTTTGCGAAGTGTAACTTTATGCTAATATACTTACTAGTAGCAATTTAGATATCATTATAAATTTTAGCGTTTTGAATACGTGGCTGACTTACCATGTCTGAAATTATTGTAAATCAATATTTTTTCAGTCAGCAAATGTTTCATAAGAATTCAGTATTCAGTAAATGGTCTGTCTGTCTGTCTGTCTGTTGTAGGTTCCAGAATAAATACATTTTTAATAGTTACTTTAATTGTAAAGTTCTGTGTGTTCAATTGTTTTGTGCGCTTTTAAAAAGAAATCACATGATTCCAATAAGCTGTACCTTTGAAATGAAATCTTGGGATCTTGTTATTTTGTTCCATCTTATCATAGAGCAGAACAGAACATACATATATCTTCATACATGTAATTACTATAATTAACTGAGTAGTTTCTGGAGTCAAACGTATGCGCAGTTCATTCACTTATAATATGTTTTTACATATCAACTTAAGTATATGTAAACGAATGTATCAGATTCTCTAATTTTACACTAAACATGACAAATAAAGCATTTATCATTAATCTATGTCATTCTGCACTTGAATGCTTGAAACGAATAAAACCAAAAAGATGATTTACTTGTTATATTATCTAAATGTTCTATCAAAATCCCTTATGTTTCATTCCCTTATTTGTTTAAAAGTCATTGTTTTATTGTTAAACCGAGTAAACAAAAGTGGCGTTTATAAAATCGGCAAATTTTATCAGTTTTTTCTCTCTCTCCAATAACTTCGATATAGCTACCCGCTTAAATTCCGTCACATATGCCGGTTTCTCACATTTGAAGAAAACCTTTAATAAGCGAACCTTTGTCCCTAGTTGGGTAAACCCGGCGTGTTTAGTGGGGACAGCTGTTATGGGGAACATCTGTCGCGTACGCGTGAATCAACATAATAGCCAAATGTAAATACGAGCTTACAGAAAACGTCGTCTGCTATCACTCCAGTGTGTAAATGACTCGGATAAACATTCAAGTTATAGATATTTCGAATTGAAAATTTTAAGAAATAAAGTTACACTTTATTACAAATCTGCTGATAATTTCGATTTATTTTTGTTTTAAAATAAATGTAACTGAATTAAGTTAATCGGGAAATAATATGGATATTGCGTTATTTTAATACAGGTAAGAAAAAATATAATTTATATCGCTTGTTTAAACATATTATAACATATGGGTCTTATGCCCACAAACTTTAGCAAATGCATGAGGTATATAAATGGTTTAATCTTAACAGTTACATTAGCAATAAACAATAAAGTTCATTAGAAGTTAAAAATTAACAATATAATGCTGTATAGTTAATTATTACATTAGGAATAAATAATTCATGCTTCTGTAACTCATTTTTTATGATTTTATATGATAAATATGATGCTCAAATGAAAGTTTAACAATATTGTAAGTTCCAAAAGCATTATATGTAGAGATATTACCGAATTTATATTTCATGTAACTAAAGGGAGATAATTAGAAATTTATTTTTGATAAAGTCTTAAACCAGATTTTTCAATAAAAAATAAATGCATATACTTATAATGCGTATAAACATTTTCAGTACATATTTAACATATTTTTGGACGTTTGGAAATTGTTTTAGAAGAAGAATTATATACATATATAAAATTTCACGTAAGCGTTTTTACATCCTTAATAACAACATACTGGATCTTTAATTTTATCAATTACATTACACCTCAACAATATATGCGTTAACTTTATCAATTACGTTAAATTTAAGACAATATCTGTGCATTAATTTTATCAATTACATTACGCCTAAACAATACGTGCGTTAACTTAATTAATTACGTTAAATTTAAGACAATATCTGTGTATTAATTTTATCATTTACATTACGCCTAAACAATACGTGCGTTAACTTTATCAATTACGTTAAATTTAAGACAATATTTGTGTACTAATTTTATCTATTACATTATGCGATATTTATAGAAATTTAAGTGGTCACGTGGATTATTGATTATTTTTTCATAGTATACACAAATGTGGTAAAATGACCTGTTATTTCTGTTTACGACTGGTCGCTGACCATTTACACTTGGGTGTTATGAATTGAGCAATGATTACACTTGAATAAAAGATTAAACTTGGATGGACATAAATGAGCCGCGTCATGACAAAACCAACATAATGGGTTTGCGACCAGCATGGATCCAGACCAGCCTGCGCATCCGCGCAGTCTGATCAGGATCCATGCTGTCCGCTTACAAACCCTATAACAAGTAGAGGAACTGATAGCGAACAGCATGGATCCTGATCAGACTGCGCGAATGCGCAGGTTGGTCTGGATCCATGCTGGTCGCAAACCCATTATGTTGGTTTTGTCATGTCACGGCTCAAATTTGAATGGACGTAAATGTCACTTTAAACAATCTGTGTATTAGCTCTCTCAATTAAATTAAATATGGACGATATCTGGTTTTACTTTATCAAATGGCATTTGACATAAACATTATGTTCTGTACTGTAACAAATAAATATCATTGTTTCTTTTTCTATTTTACTACATTATTATAACATTTATTACGAATAAAATAAATGAAGTTTAAAAAGTCCGTTTTCAGTGAAAATACACGATAGACCTTTAGTTTTGCGATTTGTAGACGAATACATTCTTTTACATTATGGCAATATACATGATTGGATTATGGCCAATTCATTTATGAGTTAAAATTATATCAGAATATATGATTACATGTAATTTGTAATTAAAAAAGGAAAAAAACTCTTACAAAATGATCGTCTCATCATTTTTTTTCGAAGTCATTTTTACCTTGTTTACATTCTGACTGGTCTTTTTTGTACTGAAAACTAAATTATTCAGACTGGAGTACGCCCGATAAACTCGGATAAGTTATAACCAGGGCTTGCCCTCGAGTCATTTATTTCACATACTGATCTTTTAGCTATAATATAAGTCAGTTATTTCATATAACATTCTGTTAGAATATAAGTCACTTCATACACATACTGAACTTTTAGTTATAATATAAGTCAGTTATTTCATACATCGTTCTGTTGGAACATAAGTCAGTTATTTCGCATATATTTCGCATACCGTTCGAAATTATGACATAGTTCAGATATTTCATACACCATTCTGTTAGAATATAAGTCAGCTATTTCTCACATCGTTCGTTTAGTTTTGATATAAGTCATTTATTCCACACATCGTTCTGTTAGAATATATGTCATTTATTTAATAAATTGTTCAATCATTTGAAATTTCATACACATACTAAATTCATCTCTTCCGATCAGCAAAAATCAACTGATGCATCAAATGGCAATTAAAATCAGTTTTAATGTTTGTTTTTTTTTCATCAAATTAAAACGAAAATTATACACATTCGTGTCATTTGGTATATGATTTTATTAGGGCAACAAGAACGCATACAGAAATTTGCAATTAAAAAAAAACAAACAGTTATCAAAATATGCAAATATAACTGGCAACAGCTTGCATTTCATGGTGATTTGTATAATAGGGTTGTAAAATCTGATATTACCCGCAATGAAAAAGAATCGGACACACATGTTTTCTTCAAATAAATTGCAAAAACCCGATTGCATAAAAATGCATGTTCCCATCTGGTATTTTTTTGTGTATTTACAGAATTATGAGCATGGACCTATCGTTGAATCACGTGCCCCAGAGCACCCTCGAGAATACAGTGGAAGATACGCATCACTCTTCTGACAGCCATCATGAGATGTCCACGTTTCTAACGGGGTACGCAGAGTGTGCAGAAGAGGCGTTATGGTACTTGACAGAAGTAGAGAAGCTTCCGCAGAATCATCCAACAGTCGTTGGACTAAAGATGCATTTGAATGAACAATATCGTATGTTTCAGATCAAGCATCTGCTACGCAATGCTTTGTACATGTCAGACGAGGACGATACCGAGGCAGACGATGAAGAAAATGACGACAGCGTCAACGCAGACGACACTATAGACTGTGTCCCTAATTGTGCAATATATAAACAATCCGTGCCAAAATGTGAGAACACAGACATAGAATACGAATCTCTCAAGGATAATGATACAAATGGCGTGCATAAAAACAATAGCACGCCATCTTTTACGAACGAAAATAAATCATCGATACCTAACGCCACAGAAGGAGAAAACAACGAATCCGAATCCGAGCTTTCACCAGAAGCGCACATGGTTGCCGTTGCTCTTGCTGAAGAAATATATGCCCTACTTCAAAGTCGTAGCGATGCCAAGGATGAACAAAATGAAGAGGTTGATTATTCTACAGACACAGACATTGAAAGTGTTGATGAGGGCTTTGACGAAAGCATCGAAGCGTGAATTGTTTACATGTTGTTATTGTTGAATTCAATTTATTTATTTTTTCACAAAAGCTATTTATTACAGAATATTACAATGTTACATACATTTCTACATTGATTATTTTTATTTTTACAACTATAGGAAAGCACACAGAACGCTCCTGCAAAATTATTTTATAAGGTCAAGGTTTTTGAGTATGACCGCAATACATCAGAGGTCAAAGTGTCGCTCCTTTTTTACTTGAAAACAACATAATTGACTGTTAACGATTCTAGAAAGTTGTTAATTAATTTATACCTTACAAGGTTTAGGAACTTCTGAAATATACATGTATTAACATAATAATCACCCTCGATTGCTTTGTTACAAAATATCAATAAATAACCGCTTTGTCAAATAACAACTGTATTTACATGTGCTAGAAAATGTAAAGTTTAACATTTTTAAAAAAGGAGCAATTTTCGACTTTTTCTAATATAGATTTCTGCATTTAACCATTAATGTCAGTTTTCAATATTATATTGAATATTAGATTGTAAGCAATGCTAAAATATCAAACATTTAATTTTAATAGACCATGTAATCGTTGTTCCCTTGTTGAGACCCGCCACATTCTAAGTTTAAAGCTGCATGCCTCCAGAAGAGCCAAAATATTTCAAACTTGAGAAAAATTGACTAAGATTTTGAAGAAAGAATCAAGTAATATTTGTACATGTTACATGCAATTAATTACTGATTTTGCAGTTTTCAGCACCGTATTTCTACTGCATGACAAACGCAGTAAAGGCTATTTTTGCATATTTTCATTATTATTTTGTCCTCCTTTTACGTAATTTGCGTGGACTTTAAGTGTCGATTGCAATGTGTAAATTACTTTCTTTATTTACTTCACAGTATTTTTCTTTCAAAATACGTTATCAAAATTTTCATGAAAATTAGCACGAATCTGGGGGCGTGCTGCTTTAAATGTGACACGATTGCACAAAGTTATTGTGATTTGACCGTACACTTTATGTTGTTTTATGATTGTTTTCGTTATTTTTTTCAAGGATTTTTATCAAAAAAATTAAAACTAAAATTGTTATCTTGAAAAAACAGAAAAAGGGTGATGTTTCGGAAGCAATAATAATAATAATAATAATAATAATAATTCACGAACATTGTAGACTCGGTTTGGTTGAGTCTACTCGTAAGAGATAATGTAAAGATGCAGCATCTATCACGCTCCCTAGCACCGGATGAAGTCAATTTCGCTTAGCTTGTCTTCAATAGTGTTATATATTTTTTCTCGTCTTTCGAGTTCTTTGATTCCAGCACAACTTGTCTTGAAGATGGAAAACCCCTATAAGCCGGTGCTAGAGAGCGTATGGGTAGTTTCGCTTTTTTATTGTATTTCATGAACAGGCTCAATCAAACCGAATCTGCAATTTTCAAGTAATATTGTTGTTTTCATTGGGATATCGCATCCTGCAGATAATTTTTTGATTTTGTCTCCTCAAACTTACATTTACGAGTAGATATACATGTGGATATATTTTTTTTTTTTCATTATTTATTTTTAGATACCATCTTTTCTTAAAGTTTGAACTTAAAACGCCATGAAACAGGTGTCAAAATTTGGTGCGTGTGCTTGTGTGCGTGTGTGCGCGCTAAAATTTGTCAAAACATATAATTTGAAAACTCTCGCACATCATCATCATCATCATCATTAAAAGCTATGATAGGTTTGGTTATGACAATACGTCACAGTTGTATATGATCTCATCATTTGTATGTTAAACATTTTAATTTATAACAATTAGAGACCCTTAACGACGTACTCAACGACACACTTTTGTTCCGAATATGTATGTATCAATGAAAAGCCCTTTATGAGAAAAATATACTTTTTTATAAATTTATAAAAAATAATTCAGATTTTGACCAGTTAAACATCTTTCTTTCAACTTTAAGACTTATGTAGTAAGCACAATTTACATTTCCTTAAGGTCAGTATCATTGTATAGCAAAATTAAACTCTGTACTTTTGTAAAAATAATGATACAATAATGCATACTTTGTAACTGGAAGTAGTAAATAATGATGAACTCGTTAAATGTATATGGTAAACCCCTAATCTGTTCGAACCGGAAGTGAATAGCCAGGCAAGCCTTCACATCCGACCAGACTCTATGCTTTTAGTAGCTTGATCCAAAGCAGGGATCTCCATCACACAAATTCAACAGGTTAAGGCTTAACTGAAAATAAAATGATCTCCATTATTAATTTACTTACACATGATCTCCATGACGCTTTGTTATCATTATATATACATGTATATATGACAGTGCAATGTGCGAATTGTGACATTGTCTAAAGTTATTTATTGTGAGATGACTTGTTGTGTTTAATTAAAGTATTATTTTTCAAACAGTTGTTAGTCTTTGCTCTACCATTTAATCCAATGAGAATGCCAAAATTTGAAAATTTCTGGCAGTCTCTGATCCTCGGCAGCGTTTATTTAACAATTCATAAATACCACCTGTAGAAAAAGTAGGTCAACAACTTACACACTCCTTTGTCGCTCCTTTTGAACTGTTTGAACATTTCCATAGTTTAACAAATAAGCTCAAACTATTACTTAGATACTGATAAGAAAGTAAAATAAAGTCTTAAAACTATGGTGGCTGATTTGTGCCATGTCGTAATTTCGCTCCGCGGGTCGTGAGGCGAAACACACAAAATATATGTTTTTTCGCTCTCCGGGGCGCACGCAAAGGCGAAAACACGGTAATACGCCATGTGGAGATTATATTGTTTTCGCATTGCGCCCCGGAGAGCGGTTGTGTCTTGATCACTTCGTATAGTCTCTTGATAACTGAACCAAGGTTATCTTTTTTTTTGGGGGGGGGGGTTACGTGACATCGACACAGTATAGGTCATATCGCGACGTTCCAGCTTTACTGGTGGAGGAAGACCTCAGATGCCCTTCCGTGCATTATTTCAGGCACGAACGGGCACCTGAGTAGAACCACCGGCGTTCCGTAAGCTAGCTGGATAGCTTCCTCACATGAAAGAATCCAAAGTCCCTGTCGGGATTCGAACCCACAGCGGTGAGGGGCAAGTGGTTTGAAGTCAACGACCTTAACCACTCGGCCACAGACGCCCCCAAGGTTATCTACCAGACCATATTGTTAGATGTAATCTTATGATGGTTTTAGATTGAACACAACATTTAATGTACATTCTTGACCACAAAACAAAGGCATAGTTGCTACGACACAGTGATGATTCACTTGTTTTGATTCGTTTGTTTGTTTCATTTTCCGCCATTTTCCAACAATATCTCAGTCATATAGACGGGTAATTTCCTTACCATCGTTCCTGGAGAGTTACACCAGTACTAGACTACCTTCTTCCGCGCTAAAGTACCAAAACATCTCCCGGGGATCGAACCCACGCCAGAGAGGTAACTGGATTAGAAGTCATCGACTCTAATCCCTCGACCACGGAGGCGGTCCTTGTTTTGATTCACTTCTGTTCCCATGACAATAATTTTAAACATAAGATAGCTGTCTCCGTAATCAGTATTTCAAAAAAATATAAATAAATGATAACAACACATGCAATTTATAAACTAAACGATATATATATCATTTACATTTGTGCTCGCTTTCTTACGTTATAATAAAAAATCGTGAACTAATTCAAAACTCTTAGCCCTTCTAAATATGGAAAATTTTACTTCGAAAGACTATTCAGCAGGACTTTTTCTCAGTCTTCTCTTGATAATGGTAACTCTGTAGAAAATTCTATTCATCAAGACACAATACAAGTACATGTTTAATCTTGAAATAAAATCAGATAACTCTACCGATCACAATTTCAGGGATGTTAACTTGACTATAACACTTGGAAAATTCCCTAAACCACAAAAAAATAAAGGCTTTTTAAACAACAAGAGATGTTATTCAATTGATAACCAGATATCAAGTACCGTTTTGATAACAATATTGTTTGTATTTATTGATGATAACGACACTCAGGTTATTTTTTTTACAACAAACAAAATAAACAGAAAATGACCTCTTAAGGTTTTCAGATGTGTATATTAAAGGTACATTAATTAAAGGTCAGGTTCGTCGTAACAAAAACATTGTTCGATCAAACGAAAGAACTCTTTTGCCTGCAAAAGGAGGTTAGTAACGATCAGAAAATGAACTTTTAGTTTGTTTTGGTCTTCTTCTTCATCACAGTTGTCGTTGTTGTTGCAGTTTTAGAGATCATCGTTATGTAGTCAGTAAGCCAAAGTCGTTTTCATCGTCACAATTGTTGTCGTAGTCGAAGTTACATAATTAAAACCGTTTTCGTTGTAGTTGTGGTCATAGACATTGTATAGTCGTAGAAGTCCGAGAGGTACTTGTAATCATCGTCATACGTAGTAAGTCAAAGCCGTTGGTTGTGGTCGTTTTAATCTTTCTTGTAAAAGTCGTCGTCATGATCGTTAGTGTAGAAGTCAAAGTCGTAGTCATTAAGCCGCAGTAGTTTAAGTTGTATTTGCAGCCGTAGTCGTAATCTTTAAGGCGTAATACTATAAGATAACCTGTAAGTTGTAGCTATGCCATTATCAGAAAGTTTAGATCAGCCTCGGTCGAGATCGTCGTCGTAGATAACGATTTGAAGTCATAAAAGCCGTAGTTGTCAAAGCTGTCGTTACCGTTCTTGCCAGTGTAGTCTTTGGTCATTGCTGAACATAGTCTTAGCCGTACTTGTAGTCAAAGGAGTCGTCATTTCGGTAGTCGTTGTAACTGTTCTCTTAGAAATTAAGTCGTAACGGTCGTCGTATCCTTGATCGAAGCAGTCGTAAATTTTTGTGGTCGTAGCAGACTAGCAGTACATGAAGTTAAATAAATCGCATTCGTAGAAACGGTCGTAGTCATGGTAGTCATAATCGTAGACGAAGTCGTAGCAGTTGTAGTCTTCGACGTCGTCGCTGTACTCGTAGTCTTAGATGTCGTAGTCGTTGTCAAAATTTTCCTCGTAGACCTAGTCTTTGTCGTGGTCGTAACCGGGACGAGAAAGTGACGATAATTACCAACTAGATTATCTGACAAAATAATCTATATATGG